AGTAAAATAAAAGATGAGTTTTTTTCTTAATAGTTTACACTACAAGTTCAAGACCCCCCCAGAATGGAGGCACCAACCCCAGCGGGGCCCCTGGCCCACTCCCCTTCCCCCATCAGGCTCTGCTTCCTGTCCCCTGCCTGGCGAGCCCCCCCGCCGCCTCCCCCCACCACCCTGGTGCCTGAACTTGGCCTTACATAGCCCACCTCCCAAATGACCCACTCTGGTCCATAGCTGTGGACAACAGCAACCTAAAGGAAACAGAACTCTTTCCAAAAAGCAAGTAAAGCAGAAATATTTGCTCGTGTGGCCGATCTAAATGGATAAAGACCAAATGTCTACTAACCCACCCCCCCTGCCCAGGGCTACCAGTGATTCTCTCTACCTGGTAGTAATGCAGGCAACTGATGGGCTCACTAATTCTTGTATGCTTTTTTTTTTCTACAACAGAAATGTAGGGGATTTTTTCCCTCTCTTTCGGTTATCCACATTTGCTAAAATAATAAGGAGCATTCACTTACATCGCGGGCTTCACTCGGAGACAATCATTTTCCCAAGCACTTTGCTTGGAGCGACCCAGCCGTGTGGCTGCATCCATTCGTCTTCACAGTAACCCTGTGAAGAAGGCTCTGCAACAGTGCTTCGTTTTATAATAAAGACCGATTTCAAAGGCAGAGTGGAGGAAGGGGGGTGGGAGAGAGAATCTTCCATCCACTGGTTCACTTCCCAGATGGCTGCAATGGCCTGGGCTGGGCTAGGCTGAAGCCAGGAGCCAGGAACTCCCTCAGGTCTCCCACGTGGGTAGCTAGGGCCAAGCACTTGGGCCGTCTTGCAGTGCTTCCCCAGGCACGTTAGCAGGGAGATGGATCGGGAGTGGAGCAGCCAGCGCCCGTACGCGATGCAGGTGATGCCCAGGGCCTCACAGGGAGAAAGTGGCTCAGCCAAGCAGCGTGCCCCAGAGTCCCGGAGGCTGCGCTGTGCCGCGAGGCACGGGGGTTATTTGTGGGGTGAAAACGTTCAGAACTCTGTTGGTGCTGGGCGTCTTACAGAGCCATGGGTGCTGCCGAGGGCACAAGTGCTCCCCACTCCTGTTCCTTGGGGGGGACTCAGCCCGCCCCCCAAGCTACCCCACCTTCCCCCTGCGAGTACCACTCCAGTGCTGGTGACACGCGGTATCCCCTGGTCTCTAAATTTAGGAGTGAGCGGCTAGAGTGTCTTGCCAGTTTTCAGATCCAACTCTCATTAGTCCAGGACATGGGAAAAATTTAAAGGTACAGCGCTCTGGAGGCCAGGTCTTTAGAAAAACAGACTGATTCCCGTTTAAACAATTAGATAGTTAAATAATAGCCAAGCAGCACGTTGTTCTTATGAAAAATACAAGAAACTAGCAAGAGATCTAAAGAGATCTCACTGTCTCTGAGAATACTTTCCTATGTAGGGAAACTATATATTTTTAAAAAGATTTATTTATTTGGAAGGCAGAGTTACAGAGAGAGAAGGAGAGACAGAGATCTTCCATCTGCTGGTTCACTCCCCAAATGGCCGCAATGATTGGGGCTGTGCCAGGCGACAGCCAGGAGTTGCAAACTCGGTCCAGGAAGATTTTTAACAAGCGCCTCTGCTGAATAGGAACAGAGACGGAGGAGACCTGGGAGCCTCGCCTGTGTTCTGTGGTTGCCGTGCGCATTGGCACTGCCTTCTTTGCTTCCCATGGCATCCAGGGAAACTGTCATTGAAGAAGTCTCAAAGCGACATGAGAAGCTGTTCAGGATTAGCAGCTAAGAATGGAAGAAAGAGTCCTGGGCTTGGTGTCCCAAGACCTGCATTCAAGCTCTGACCGGCAGCTTCCTAGATGTGTGTCCTTGAACTTGCCGATTGTTCATCTTTTAACTGAAAAGTGGAATAATACCCCCACTGAAAAGCCCAACTGAAAGACAAGTGTATTTATTTGTTTAAAAAAAAAGACTTGGAGTGGGCACTGTGGTGCAGTGGGTTAAGCATTCCATTTTAGAGTGCCTGTGCAAGCCTGCCTGCTCCACTTCCCATCCAGCTCCCTGCTAACGTGCCTGGGAAAGCAGTAGAAGATGGCCCAAGTGCTTGGGCCCCTGTACCCACGAGGGAGACCTGGAAGCGCTCTTGGCCCCTGGCTTTAGCCTGGCCCAGCCCTGGCCGTTGCTGCCACTTGGAGAGAAAACCAGCAGATGAAAGACATCTCTCTGTATATATCATTCTGCTTTTCAAAATAAATAAATCTTAAAAAATATAATTCAGCTGGAGTGGGTGTTAGGTGGGATCTCATTGTGGTTTGATGTAAATTCCCTTGATGGAAAATGATGCTGGGTACCTTGTCATGTGACCATTGGTAATCTTTAGAGAAACATCCATTCAAGTCCCTTGCCCTTCTAAATTTCACTATATTTTTCTCACTGAGCTATGAAGGTTTTCACGTGGTTGCAGGTACAGTCTCCATCAGCACATGATCAGCAGTCCTGGGAGTTGTCTTTTCCTTGTTGCTTTCAAAGCACAAATTTTGATGATGTCCAGTTTATTTGTTATCGGTCGCCTGTGCTTTTGGTGTCATGATCTAGGAACCCGATGCCTAATGCAAGGGCACAAAGCTTTGCTCACTTCTTCCTAAACGTTCTATAGCCTGAGCACCTTTATGCAGGTCTCTGGCCCAGTCTGAGTTATCCTTGTACCCAGTGTAAAGTAAGGCCCCAGGCTGGGCCAGGTGCTGGGAGTGCGATGGGAAACAGAAGACAATACACTGAGCTGCTGGGAGCTCCGAGCCTATGGGGAAGGCAGTGTAGCAGCCACGTGAACACCAACACCAAGGAGCGCATCACTGATGTTCAGGGTGCTGGGAGAGGTGGGGGTGAACGGCGCCAGCAGGTCCTTGCAGGCTGAGAGCTGGTGTGTGAGTTCGCTGGGCGTGAGTGGCAGAAAGGGCCACTGAGGGTGAGTCTCCAAGGGGGACCGCCAGGAGAGTGCAGTGGCCCCAGGACCTTGGGAAGCACTTCCTGACTTCAGCTGGGCATCGGCAGCTTCAGAAGGGCTGCCCAGCTGGATGAGCATGGCTGCAGGTGGGGGTGGACCAGATGGTCCGGTGGCAGTGAGCATGGAGAGGTGTGGATGGATTTAGGAGAGAGTTATGGGATAAAATAACAAAGTTGAGATGAGTGACCCCTTCCAAAGAGGTATTTTTGTTGATTGTTAAGTCTGTTTCTCCCCACCATAAGTGGTTCAAAGTGTCCGTGTTTTCTTTTCTTTTTTTTTTTTTTTCCGACAGGCAGAGTTAGATAGTGAGAGAAAGACAGAGCGAAAGGTCTCCTTTACCGTTGGTTCACCCCCCAAATGGCCACTACGGCCGGCTGGCGTGCTGCGCCGATCCAAAGCCAGGAGCCAGGTGCTTTCTCTGGGTCTCCCATGTGGGTGCAGGGCCCAAGCACCTGGGCCATCCTCCACTGCACTCCCGGGCCACAGCAGAGAGCTGGACTGGAAGAGGAGCAACCGGGACAGAATACAGTGCCCTGACCGGGACTAGAACCCGGGGTGCCGGCGCCGCAGGCGGAGGATTAGCCTAGTGAGCCGCGGCACCGGCCTCTTTTCACTGTTATCAGGGGGCTTCTTGAAACCCTTGCAGTATGATTTCCATTCCCATCTTTTTTTTTTTTTTTTCATGTATTTGAAAGGCAGAGTTGGAGAGAGAGAGCGAGAGTGAGAGAGAGAAAGAGATCTTCCATCGGTTGATTCACTCCCCCAAATGGCTGCAATAGCCAGGGCTGGGCCAGGCCAAAGCCTGGAACCCCATCCTGGTCTCTCACCGGGGTGGCAGAGACCCAAGCACTTGGGCCATCTTCTGCTGCTTTCCTGGGTGCATTAGCAGGGAGCTGGATCAGAAGCGGAGCAGCAGGGATTTGAACCAGCGCTCTTGTGGGATGCTAGAGTCGCAGGTAGCAGCTTAACCAGCTGCACCACAACCCTGGCCCTTTTATCCCATCCCCTTCTTTTAACGATAAATAAATTCGATTTCTGGTATTTAGGATTTCTTGATTTGAGCCCTGTATTGGGGTCTGAGTCAGCCACCTGGATGATGGAACACTGCCTCCCAACCCCAAAGCACAGAAAGCAATAATTCCAGTAATTGTTTATTAACTTGTCACCCTTGTAGCAGCGCTGTTTAAAAATAAACTGGAGTATTTGTGTCCATTTCCCTTAAAGGAAACATTTAACACACAGCCGCTTCTGCCAGTCTGAACTGGATGGGAAGTGTTGATGCCCTAAACACATTCAGAATGCCTGGGGTGTTTCCAAAGGCTGATCTTGGCGGCGGCAGCTGAGAATGACGAGAGAAAGGAAAAGTCACGGGACAGAGCCGCCCGGGGTTGTATGCTCTCCTGCACGGCCGTGACTCACAGCCTGTGGAAGGCACACAGTGTGGCAGGGGGAGCTAGCAGCCGGAGACCGCTCACACTGCTGCACTCCGATCACGCTCTCTCTGGGAAAGGGAGCTGCCCTGGTCAGTTGAGATGCAGAGAGCAAATATCAATATGTAGGTCTATAAACACAAGCGAGTAATACATACATGAAAGCTTACACAGGGGCCGGTGCTGTGGCGCAGCGGGTTAACGCCCTGGCCTGAAGCACTGGCATCCATATGGGCGCCGGTTCCAGTCCCGGCTGCTCCACTTCCAATGCAGCTCTCTGCTATGGCCTGGGAAAACAGTAAAAGGTGGCCCAAGTCCTTGGGCCCCTGCACACCTATCGGAGACCCAGAAGAAGCTCCTGGCTCCTGGCTTCGGATCAGCACAGCTCTGGCTGTTGCGACCCTTTGGGGAGTGAACCAGCAGATGTCGCTACCTCTCTCTGTAACTCTGTCTTTCAAATAAATAAAATAAATCTTAAAAAAAAAAAAAAAAAAAGAAAAGAAAGCTTACCCAGTGATTTGAAAATCTTTTTAGGAATCATTTTTTTTTCAGTTTTCCTTTCTCTTTTTTTTTAAGGTGTATCTTACGGATTTGGAAGGCAGAGTTACAGAGATGGAGATATACACACACACATTCCATTTGCTGATTCACTCCCCAAAAAGTTGCCAGAGGGGTCTGGCCGGCTGATGTCAGGCGCCTGGGACTCCATTTGGGTCTCCCACTTGAACCGTCCTCTGCTGCTTTCCCAGGTACATTAGCAGGGAGCTGGATCACCAGCGAAGCCATCAGGACTCAAACCAACACTGCAAATAGAGGACGCTGGAGTCACAGAGGCAGGTTGACCAGATGTACTACAATGCCGCTGGGGTGGGGTAGGGGAGGAGCCCACCGGCCCACCCCATCATCCAATTTTTCTACAGTGACTGCTTTCATCAGGTACATAAGTAATAACGGCAGTCCCGTTCTTCTAATTTTATTTTATTTTTTTGTGGCTGAGGTCAAACGTACATGGAGTAGGGTACTCTGGTCATAGCATGGAGCTCAGCGTCCACCACATGACCCCCACCTGGATCAGGACGCAGACCACGGCCAGCATCCACGCCCTGGTCCATGAAGCAGTTCCCTTCCCTGAGTCAGCTCTATCCTGACTTCTCCCATCACAGAAGAGTTTTGCTTACTCTTGAACTTGACACAGCTGGAAAACACCACATGACCTCATTTCTGTATGGCTGCTTTTGTTGAATGTTCTATCTGGGAGACTCAGTTGGGTTGCGAAAGCCAGCTCCAGGTTGCTCTTTTTCATTGCCGTGCAGTTCCCCCGTGTGTGACTAACTATCTCAACTGTTTTCCCTTTTACTTGGGTTACACCCAGTGTTCCTGTTATGAAAAATGCTATTACCTTGGACACTCTTGGTAGCCTCTCATGGAGTCTATACAGTACTCATGTCAGATGCAGACTTGGAATTGCTTGGTCATGGGGCATGCGCGTGTCTAATTCTAGCAGATCCTTCCAAGTGGCTTTTCCAAAGTGGCTGCCCCATTTTTACATGGCCGTAGTGGGGCGTGAGCTTTCCAGCCCCTGTGCGTCTTCCCCAACACCAAGCACGATGAGTCTTTTTCATGTTACGGCTTCAGTGGGCAGCGGCTGCCCGACTGGGGCTTTGGTTTCCCCGACGACTAAGGAGGGTGCACACCTTCTGCTGTGCTTTTCAGCCAACGGGAACAGCATTTTGTTCCTACATCCAGTTATGCTCTTGGGATCTCTGATGGGCCAGTTTGCCAGCACGGTGTTGAAGGAATAAGCACGTGTTTTGAGAGCAGACCCCAAGGCCCCTTATGACATAAACACCCGCGTCCTGGGAACACACTCCAGTACACCTATGTTGGCGTCTGCCTGCTCTCAAGTTCTTGGCTGTGCCGATGGCTGAGCGTGCAAGATAATTTTCAGATAAGTGACGTCTTAAGAATTTTAAAAGATGCTAAAGTGAACTCTGGTGATTCAGATTATATTTCTGCCATCCTCTTAGGGGGAAAGGCATTCATATCTGTTGAGCACCTGCTGCCTACTATTCGATGGCACTGGCACCATGGGCCCACTGGCCCAGGCATTTTAAATGCACCCTTTGTAAAGACCCTGGAGGGGTGGAGGTGATGATACCTACAGGTCAAAGGAGGAAACTGAGGCTGGGATCATGGTGTGTGTGTGTTGGGGGGTCACCCAGCTATTGAGTGGCAGCACCAGGACTACAACGTAGAATCTGCTTCATGCCCAAAGTCCGCCCTTCCATTGGCAAGCAAACTTGTGGTGGGGGAGGGGATATTGTTTTTCCAGCAATCTGCTCATCAAAAACTTCTAGCAAACATCTCATAGCATTTCTCCTAACGGTCTCCTCCAAGGCAACCAACATCGGACCTGGTGAGACTGGAGAGGTCAGAGGTCAGCTCCTGTGCCGTTCCTAGAGCTTCCAACTGACCCTTGACCCTGTTTCTTCTCTTTCCCCTATCTCTGGGCTCTGACTGTAGAAGCTCTGCTTCCATGTTGACTCTGCTTTCAGTTCTGTTTGTCTTATGTATGGTGTATATTTTTAAAAATTTATTTGAAATTCAGAGTTACGAGAGAGGGAGAAAGAGAGAGAGAGAGAGAGAGAGAGAGAGAGAGAGAGAGAGAGAGAAAGCGAGCGCGCCCAAATGGCCACAATGGCCAGGGCTGAGCAGGGCCAAAGCCGGGAGCCAGGAGCTTCATCCAGGTCTCCCACATGGGTGGCAGGGGCCCCGGCACATGGGCCATGGTCCACTGCTTTTCTCAGGTCATTAGCAGGTAAGCTGGATCATAAATGGGACAGTTAGGACAGGAACCAGCACTCACATGGGATGCTGGTGGCACAGGCAGCGGCTTAACCCCCCATACCGCAACGCCAGCCCCTTGTCTGGTACATTTTCTGATGATTCCTTAAGAAAGTTTCCCCCAGTTGTGTGTCATGTGCGTATGCTGTAGAGCATTTGGAAAAGTAAGAATCCACCTGTTTTCCATCATTTTATCTGTGTTTAGCTAGTTTTTTTTTTTTTTTTTAACAAAACCTAGTTGGGTTGCTGGACCATAACTTATTCGAGGCAATGGATACAATTTTGGAGGTGATGAACGCATGGGGCAGTCACACTTAAGGGACATCTGTCCCTTGCCAGCCGTTGCTTCTCCAAAGGCATTCCGCCCGCAGCCTGCTTCTCCACCCAGGCTATTAGCAATGTGCAGGGGCCTTGATGAAATGCTGGTGTCCAGGCCCCAGGCCCCGCACATGAGAATTTCTGAAGTGAGACACAGGCACCAGTCCCTTCCAGGAGTTGAGCACCTGTTTCTTATGTGTAGCTGAGGGTAAGAGACCCGGTAGTCAGGGGGTCTCTAGCTCCCTGAAACACGCCACTACCATGCCTTACACACACAGCCTAAAAGACATGGTTCATACAGTATTTTAAGTGATTTTGTTCACAGCTACAGAGTGTGGAATTTTTGTTGACACCCAACAACTTTCAGGTTTCGGACCATTTCAGAAATCCGGATGAGACACGCTCACACTCTATAATTAGCAGTAGCACACAAAAGCAAATTGATTCACTTATTTATTGATTGGAAAGGCAGAGTGACAGAGAAGTCTTCCACCAGCTGGTTCACTCCCCCCAGTGACCATGACAGCCAGGGCTGGGCCTGGCTGAAGCTAGGAGCTGGACGCTCCATCGGGGGCTCCCATATGGGTGGCCAGGATACAAGCCCTAGGGCCATTTTTCGCTGCTTTCTCAGGCTTGTTAGTAGGAGCTGGACTGGAAGCAGAGTGGCCAGGATGCTATACCACAGTGCTGACCCTTATCATGCATGTGGGTGGTTCATAAACACAGACGGCAGAGGAGACTCTGGGGGCCCCTGTGGTTCAAGTCACCTCTCGGGCAGTAACACGGGGGTGGGGAGGTCCTGGGACACTCCAGGGAAAGACGTAGGACAAACAAGAGGGTCTGTGCCCAGGGATCCCTCCACCCACCCGGGGGCTTTGGGCTTCCTGATGTGTGTGGGGAGAGGCTGTCTGCTGTGACTCCTCTCCCTGACACACACACACGTGGCGCTGTTCCATGTCCACCTAAGTCTCCTGTCTGGCAGGCTCTGGGTACCACCAGGATCCCGTTTGTGTCCTGATGGTGGCAGAGGAGGAAAGACTCGATCCTGCCCATGTCACCGGCCCCAGCGAGACTCTGGGGTTCCCATTCTGAGTGGGTGCAGGGGAACGGTGTGTGGCTACGGCCCGGCTTGAGCAGAGAGCCTGGGATCTGTCACAACTTTCAATTAAACTTCTTTCCTCCAGGACCCCGGTCCACAAAGCACACCTGTGGCTTCCCGCTGAACCGAGCGGCTTGGGAAAGGCTCCTGGGCCGGCCCCGGGTTCTTCACGGTGGGCTCCTGGGGCCGGGACCACAGCAGGGGCGGCGGTTAGGTGCTGCTGACCTGTCCACGCATCCATGTTTCCAAAGGACTGGCCTATCTACACCCCGCCTGACTTCCTCTTTTGTCTCTTTGCAGTGAAATGCAAAATGGAGGAGGAGGAGGAGGCGGCGGTGGCGCCCGTGGTTAAGATCCTGCGACCTTAGCCCCCTGCGGGAACCATCCTGGCAGAGGACAACCTCCGAGTGCAGCTTCCTCTGCTGTGACTGCTGTGCCACCAAGACTTGGTTCCCGCGAAAACAGAATCCTTTCTGCTCAAGGTAGCAGAAACAGGCATTAGCACGAACTCTTTCGAAAACAACGTAGTTTCCGATTTATCCTCCGATTTTGTTTTTACCCAGATATTTTTCCAAGCTTCCTCAGCATCCCCCTGCACCAGCAGACGTGCAGTGAACTCCAGTCCCCACAAGCTCAAGTTCCCCACGTCCCCGCTTTTGGCCGCCTTCTGCAAAGACCTGCGTTTTAAGTCCCAAACCTCCCAACTGGGTTTCACGTTTGCCTGGTGACATCAGTGCTTACGATCATTTCCAACAGAGCAGGGTCCTTAAATTTCCCTACAAACCCAACACAGGCTTGGACATCTGAACCCAGGCAATTGTTAACAGAGGACTTTTGAAGTTCGGGCCCCAGAGACATAGAGAGGTGTTGCTTTTGTGGGCCAATGACCGTTATCACTCTCATTTGTGCTGTGGTTGGCTGCTAACCAGGATTCTCCCATTCAAAACTCGGTCCCGAGCCCTGGTGGCTGCACTGGGTTGCTGTGACACACTACCACACGGCGGGAGTGAACAGTAAAGCCTTTATTTTTGTGTTAAGAGCAGCATTTTGAAAATGAAACCTTTTTGAATCGGCAACATGGATATATACAGTCACGCAGGGTACAGGTTGATTGTCTTGACATTTAAGGAGTTTTCGTCCCATAGAAGTACGCAAGTCAGCCAGGGGCAGATAAAGGGACATTATAAAACACACATGAACCCATTTAATAAATATATATTATCTATCAAAAAAATGAGCCTCAGCTCTTTATCAATTAACAAAAAGCACCTGCCGAGAGCGCTCCCAAGCTGGTATAATCATTGCATCACCGGATTATAAAAGCCACAGTTGCTCCCTTTTCATTTGGGGTTCAGCCTGAGACATTCCACGCAGCCTGGGCCAACCAGGACCACCCCCACCCCTGCCCCAGTGGGCAGCTGTGCCACAAAAAGCCCCATGCACACCCAACTCCCAACAACCGCACCTTTAACCCTAGAGCTCACAACCTCAGTTTGCTGAGCCCCCAGCACCGCCAAGCCCCTCGTTCCTCACTCTCCATCTCTGGGGGGAGAGATCCACGCTAGACTGACAGTTTTCTATCAAAAGACGAGGACAACAGTGGCTGATAGAGTCCCAAAGCGATTCTAATGACTGGAC